AAGAACTTTGCACATTATTTGTTATTAATTCAACTTACAGACGAAGAAAATTTCTTATCGTAATAACAATTTTTATCAATTTTGCAAAAATTTTAAATTTCATCAAGTTTTAAACATTCAGCAAACAGATATTATAAGCATATGAAATATTATATCTTTTGCAAGATGCCATGCAAGGTTACATTATAATAAAAAGCAAAATTGGAACCTATATGAAGTGCATAAAGAATTGGAGGAATTTGTCAATTTTATAAATTTTTAAATTTTAATTCTCAGACCTCATTTAATTTTAATAATGTACTTGTTTGACCTCACATTGGCAAAGATAGATTAATTATCCTTCTTTGGGATGGGAAAAATACCTTTGTAAGACGAATCCTGCAATTTATTTCAATTTATGATGAAATTGTGGATTGTTATAAAATAAATGCGAGAGAATTTCGTTTTTATTTTAAAAATTTAACCGGTTTATTAATTTGTGTTTGTCATTGTATAATAAAAAGTTCAAGACTCTTTCGCAAAATTCGACCAACTAATCGGTTCAATTTAATTCAACTTCTTAATTTTGGCAACGAATTCAGTCTTTTTTCCCACAAATTTTGCTTCATTTATTCTCGTGAATTAGTCTATTTTTATTTCAGTCAATGACCACATAAAAAAAAAGACAAAGAAGTAATAATTGAATTTCAACTATTAAAAATAAAGATTTATTAATGCATTATTTCTCTGAATTTAATTACTTTAAAAATTGTTTTTTTTTTGGAAAAAGCTTAGCCTATTCCTTTCAATTTGATGTCATTTTAGACAAATTGCAACCACCTTAACAGAGGCATAATAAGGAAAATGAAGGAGAACGTTGATTGCAACAGGTTATTGGTGACAACAGCAGTACCACTGGTGATAACGCGCCGTCGTTTGCTTATCATCCAACCACTGTCCATGGATTCTGATTCCGTCATTAATTCTTGACTGTCAGAATTATCGTTTTCGATTGTCCATTGCGCTAACGTTTCTTCATCAGTCTTCATTCGTTTATCTTTATTCAGACGCGTTACCATTTGATCTGTTTTCTTTTTATTCAAATAAATTCGTTGTGGATTTCTCTGTCCTGTCACCGCACGGTAATCATCCGATTCCTGCAGCCATACCGGCATCGATGATTCACTTCTTACGGTATCTTCAAAAAACAGGTAAATAACAATCTATCTTGTCATAGTTCTTTCCCATTACCTCTTTAATGCTTAAATTATTATTTCGAAAAGTTTAAATTTCTGAAAAAAAACACATATAAAGTAATAAGAAACCTAATGGATCGGTAGCTCGATCATCGTAGGAATATTCGTCATCGTTACCGGTTGTCGTATCCCAACCTTCCGTATAGTCATCCATTTCCATTTCTTCAGTTGATGTAACGCTTTCTGCAAGCAAAAAATTGAAAAACAATTATATTTTTTCAAGAGATTGCTATAGGAGAGGGAAAAAAAATATTTTTAAATCAAAATATTGCTCAATCATCTCTTTAATTGATAGAGTGAGTCATTTCCGTAAATAAAAGAAAAAATTTTGAAATAATTTTCAAAAATTTTAAAATTGAAAGTTTCCAATCGTTTTTAAATAATGTTTACTATGTCGCTAATTGAGAAAAAGCATTTGAAACATTACTTTTGATTGTGTAAGGCATTTAAATTGAAATACAATGAAAATTCCGCAATTGTTATTCCCTTTTCCATTTAAATTTATTTCCTACATTTATATAATTCGGCTTTATTTTTCCTATCAATCTTTCATTCACACAATTCAACGAGTCATAGGTTAATACTAATCAGTTCTAAAAGCTGTTGAAATGATAACGGAAGTAATTGATTACAAATGCACACTAACGTTTCTTTAAATAAAATTTATACGGCTGTGAACTCAATTAATTCAGTGAATAAAAATCGAGAAGTAACGAGTCGAGCCATCTCATAAATGCACAATTGAGATTTGAATAAAATGGAGTTTTATGAAGAAAAAGAAATTGAGTGACTGATAGACATAAAAAATAAAAGCTATTACAAATCATTATGCATTAATTAATTGCAACAATTTGAAAACAATTTATGAACGAATTACCAATAACATTATGGATAAATATGTTAAAATATTCAATTCTCGGAATCACTGATCTAATAAAAGTGATATTTCCGGATAAATAAGAAACTTAAGAAACGAAATTGATGAGTGATCAAAAATTAACTCACTCGCTTCTTTTACTTGATATACTTTCGTGTGTCCGAATTGAGATATTTCATCATATCTGGTGCTTTCATCATCGGAAAATTTTCCTGATTGAATCGGTGGCTCGTGTCTTCGATGTTCAATTTCGAGCTGTTCTCGTCCGGAATGATGCGAAAACGGACGTTCGGTAGAAACGGTTGCTAACGTTGTCGTTTCAGCAACTTCAAAATAACTGTTCAATTGAAGAAAGAGTTTTTAGTGAGAAGCAAAAGATAAATTTGAAAAGTTTCCAAACGAAATACTATGCTCTGCAGTTAGACAAAATCTTCTGAAAACCGACTTGAAATATAAAAGGGTAGTAAATTCAAACTGGCACGTAAATTTAAATGAAGATAATTATTAGTAAATACAGGGATAAATAAAATGCAGACGAATAAATATGTTCTTTTATAAATACATAAAAACCATTTGTTAAATAAATCAACTTGAAATCAAATTACAATTAATTCAAGTTCGTCTTTACAAACTTAGATTTATGCGTGCAAAGTTTAAAAATTCATCTTTTCAGACTATTTTCAACTTCAACATGGATGGAATGTATTATATAATTAAGACAAGAGATTTTCTGATATTTTTTTTATTGCATTTGTTTCATCTCATTTTAGCAAAATTTAAGAAAAAACTGAATTAGACATTCTTTATTTTTTCTTAGTCTTTTTAGACGAATTTCATCATTAGCGTTAAGCAACAACTGTTCAAATAATTCATTTCCATCAGAACCGACCGACCGATCGCTTTCATTTCAAATTTTTTTTAACAAATGAAGGATGATTCATATCAAATATTTTTTCTTTTCTTGAAAGTTTTTCATTTTAATATTTTATCAGTCACAAAAAAGTTCAAAATTAATGATGCAAACATTTAAATGACTATTATGCCTTTTTCTTTCCTGTCAAAAATTTTAAATTGCTAATTTAAAGTTTTTAAACAAAAGGAAGAATTCGGTATTTTGTTGGAAGACAACAAACAACACAATGGAATAGATAGATTAAATCGTTTGAAAATTCCATTTCATCATTAATCCTGAAAGAAAGACTTACGACTTACACTTATATTAGCAATTAAATTTCTCATCTGATGATAAAAATTATCAAATAATGGTGACACATGCAGTGACAAAGTGATGTTAATAGAAATTATTACTTATAAACAATTATTGTAATGATTTATTTCTTATAGTTACAATCGTAAGGTTCGGTTCATCTGATTGCTGTCATTTCTAAGCTAATCTTGCTGGATGATAAAACATCATTACATCAATGATAAGTTGATAAAATTAATTTGACGTACCAGCATACTGACATCGATCACCGTAATAAACGTTAAGTAAACAAAGACACGTATGTATCGACGGATTATCAACTAAGTATGCGCAAAATCCACCATTGAGACATTTAATGCGACATTCACTTTGTGGATTGACAAACGCTTTTCGCTGTTGTGCCGATGTATCCTTACGTGTGCTACTACTGTACATTAAAGTATACAGTAAGACGGATACTATTCTCATCTAAAAAATGTTTAGTCAACAATGCGCAAATGAATCAAAAATCAATAAATTACAACTGGCATTTTAGTTTAAATGTAAACCTTAATAGTTCAAACTATATTGTTTTTGCATCAAATTGCGCAAATTAAGCGGTTTTACATTTCGTTCAAAATTCAATATGAATTGAAATTATACACATGACGATTTTTCTCGCTTATACATCACAAAAAAGCTCATACAAAAAGATTAGTTTATTCATTCAAATTTATTCATTGCAAACAGCGTTTAATTATTAAAACAAGTTTCGAAATATAATATACACATATGCTAATAACATGTACGCTAATGTTACGTATTACATTTAGCTCGTGAATATATGATGCTCCAATTTTCTCAAATCGTAGTTAATATGAATGCTTTTAGTGACAATTGAAATCACACAGATGGCAATTTTTCTTGAGTTCAACAAAAAAAATTCATTTCTCAGATATTATTTATCAATTCAGTCGAGCAATATTATGAGAGATGAATGCTAATACTGTCTCCTTGGTAGCATCGAAGTATACGACACAATCTTTAGTTGTATACATCCATACATTTAAGAAATTTTCAGGTTTCTTAAAAAAATTTTTTAACGAAGAAAATTTTCATCAAACAAATAAATAGTATTAGCATTATCAGTTCGTATTAGAATATTGCTAAAGTTTGAAACAAAATAAACATGGAATAAATTTGAAAATAAAAAAATCACTGATCCGTCAATAATGTATGTTCAAAATGGTGAATTTATATGTTTAATTAAATTACATCTACAAATTTTCATTTTTTATCCAACAAAATTAAAAACTTCAGCACTAAAAAATTATGTCACAAACAGACTATTATAGTCGAGCTGAAAGAATTTTCACTTTTTTTAAAAACAAAAATTCATTAGAGCAAAAATAAATGAGAAAATATTTGCATTATTTAATCAAATTCAGCCAATTTCAATTTTAAGAATACTAAAATATTTATCAATTAATCATCAGTTCTTGTTTTAAACGAATGACTGTACGGTCGAATAAAATTTGAATTAATCGCACTTTTTAGTATTTATTATCTGTTGAAATAGTTTTGGTAATAAGTAAAGTTTAATGTAATCATTCCGTTATTTCTCAATGTACAACTGTCCAAACGACTAATTTAATATTAAAAAAACTCTTTATTTAAGAAATTTATTTAACATTGCTGTTTTAATGTTATCATTCAATTGCTCATTATCATATTACAATTTCTTTTTTCGCATCATTTAAATTCTTAAATTTAAAATATAACTGAATTGCCTGTGATTGAAAAACATAGATAAGCGCTTCTAATCACGAAAACATTTTCATATTTGAAGCACAAATTTTTATATTATAAATTATTCACACTAAAATTTTATTAAATGTTTTGTTTTTTATACAAAATCACTAAAACTGTTAACGGTAAATTGAAAAAGAATGTAAATGTTTAATAAAATTTTTAAAGAAAAAAAGTTTTTTTAACAGTCAACTTGCTAACTTCTAGTTCTTACAACGAGCAATAAGGTATTAAATTACGACGGAGTGGATCTGTTTGCAAAAAGCTCTCGTTAGTTAGCCTTTGAAAGAGCAAATCACATGTATGTAAAATTTGAAAAATTGATCAAATTAGTCGATTGATTCATAGATCCGCTTAAATATTAAGCACCACAAATTCACTAAGCACATCTAAAAGTTCGAATAAATTATTCATGTATTTTCACAAAATTCCATTACCAGTAATTTCAAAAAATTTGAAAGTTTTCAAACGAAAGTAAACTATCCTACGGTATACTTCTCCATAGCAAGTCCGCTGAATAAAAAGGAATAAATTTCTACTTTTTTCCAAAATACAAAAATTTTCTGGGGTTTTAGAAATTTATGAAAATTTTCTAAAATTTGTAAAATTAATGCAAAAAAGTTTATAAATGAAAAGATTTATAAAGAAATACTTGTGCAAAACTTTTTCGTTTGAAAGAAGCTCCAAAAATTTTTTTTTATTCTTGTACTTAAAAAAAATTAAATAAAATTATGGAAAAAGATATGATCGGATAGCTCAGATTTGAACATAATTATTATTGTAAAATGGGTTTTTCAAAATGAAAAATTCTAAAAAGAGAAATATTGTAAACTGAATTCGGCTATCATTTCCATTCATTTATCTCACCGATTCATATTGATAATAATAATTAACTCCAAAAAAAGCATTGAACCCCTTCCAGCATCTTTTTTTGCTTCTTTTCAAATGCGTTATATTGTGAGAGTGTTGAAACGAGTTAAATGAGACACTGATTTGTTTTGAAAAAGAATTTTTTTAATGCTTTTAAAAATGTTTCACTTCAAATCTTTCAATAGCGTCAAATTATAGGTATTTCTTTAAATTTTAACCACTATTCTCCTTATTATACTACTCTTTTTCGCTTTCTCTCTCTCAGAAATAGAAGAGAGAAGATGAGAAAAAAGAGAAGAAAACTGTTGTTTTTTTAAATGCTAATTAAATACCTCGGCAATCTATTTCTATCGATCAAAATGAAAAGAAATAAATTTCATTATTCTATTACTGTGCATTAAAATACATCAAAGAAAATTAAATATCAAAGATGAAACTAAAATATTCATCTTTTTTAGATGTTCATCGGAATTGTTCAAACGAGAGCGAATATCATAGGATTTCTGTGGTCAGAAGTACCATCTCATAGCATTTGTTGAAGACAAATTCTAAAAAGAAGTTTGTCTTTTTTCTGGAATTCTGATTTAAAGAAGCAAATGGGCGAAGCTCATTCATCATTTTTGCTTGCAAATTAAGTTGTGAATGATGAAAATTTTGTGGAAAAAAAAAGGAAAAAGGAGGAGAGGTGTGAAAGATTGATAGTAATGGACGTGATAAATGATAGCAATTGAGAAGGTTTAACAAAATATTATTATATAGGTCAAATGATTTCATCATGATATTATCACTGCTTATGAATATATCATTATTGGTAAGAGAAAATCAAACCATTCAGTCCCAATGAATGTGACTGGCTAATTTTTTCCCATTCAAATGGGGAGAATTTTTTTTAACTTAAATTTTTTGTTAATAAAAATGATCAATTCACTGACTAAAAAATCTTAGTAAAACATTTTATCGACTTTATTTGCCTAAAGATTTGTGTAAATGCGCTAAAAATTTAACAATCTATGAAGCGCTTTTCGATGTTGGCATTTTTGATAATTTTGAAAATAATTTCAACAATAAAGGAAACAAAATTGTTTAATTATTCATTACTTACGGTTTCGTGATCCGAAAGCGTAAGCAATCAATAATTAAAATAATTCAGGAAATTGAGGCCTTGAATATTTGAGCCTAATCTCACTCCTTTTCTTATCTCTTCTCTCTTCTTCCTTTTATTCTACTTTCTAATCGCTTTATTAAGTTTATGGATGAAATCCTTCCCGAGCCCAATTCATTCAATTCACCCAATTCATTTCAATCATTCAATGAGAATTAATTATAGAAAGTTGGAAGTAATGGTTAGAATGAGTAATTAATCCATTCCAAATGTTACCATATCAAAATTTGCCTCGGCAATAGCAATAACGGTAAGCATAAAAATTTTGAAACATTCATAGAAATCGATTGAATAGCCAAGAAGCTGTAATATGAGCGCAAAGAGAATAACAATGACAATGTAGAATTGTTGTTGTTGGTGCAGGCCGTTTGGCCGGACAGCTGTTAAAAACAGGAAAGCTGAACTCAGCTTCTTCTGTTCATCCTCCCATCATATCAGAAATTTCGATTTCACTTGACCTGACAATGATTATTTGCAATATATAAAATCTTTTTATTATTAAGACACATAACAGTTTATAAGCTAAGGTAATTAGAAAAATTGTATCAGAAAAGGTCGTAAATGTTTGATCATATACGATAAGATAAGATAAGATTTATCATTTTTTCGGTTTTCATTTTCTTTATGCGATAGCAATTTTTCTGATTTTTTGTAAATCATTTGATTTTTCATCCCACATTTCGCTTCTTTACTTGTTTTAGCAACAAACAAATTTACTCATTTCTGATATATTTTAATTCTAATTTAACTTATAGTTTCCGGAAATTGTATTCAATCATATTCAACAAAATAAAAAGGTCCGAAAGCTTTATGTGAATCCGATGCAATAAATAATTAAAACTGAAATGAAACAAAAAAAGAAATTTCATCATTATTAATTTTGAATTATTATAATCGTCTTTTCAAAAGTTTTCATTTCTCTTTTCCTTTTTTCACTTATCGAATTAAAATTTTTGAAATATGAATAAATGAAGATGAAATCAACCAAATGAATAATAGCAAATATAATGTTGGAAGTAAAATAATAATAAAAGAATGATAGTAAAAATAACAGCTGCTTTAGCATCGAATGGTACGAATATTTTATTACTCAAATAGTTTTATTAAATTTTTACTACTATATTTCTCAACAATTAACCATCAATTTTCATTTATTAAATCATTTATTAATTTTCATTATTGGGTTCATTCTCTTTCTTGCAAACATTTCATGGAAACATTCTTTCCTTTCAAATTTTACAAAATTTGAGTAAATTCATATCAGTGATTGCAATCGTTTACTCACTGATTAATGAAGTAAATTTCTAGGTATTTCTCTTTATCATTTCTTCGTCTTTTGTATTTTTTGTTGATTTTTTTAAAAATAATTTTTTAATTCTTTTTAGAAAGGAACGAAATACATATTTATAAATTGATAAAAGAAAAAGAAGAAAGGAATAAAATTAATGGGAGATTGATATCTCAATGAGCAAATTCACAGTGAATTTGCTATCCATCCATTCCATTCTATTGATAGTTAATTATTATTTTAATCAACTAATTGAAATGAACTGATCAGCTAATTGAAATGAACTGACATAATGAACTATTGAATGATTAAACTATTTGAAAAAAAGAGAAAAAAGAAAGCTCAGTGCAAAATCAATTG